CTGCCCCAAAACCCCCAAATCTGCCCTTTTCACCCCAAAATCCACCTTTTATACCCAATACCTGCACTTTTTACCTCAGAATCCACCCCAACACGCCAAAAACTGCCGTTTTCACCCAAAACCCACCTTTTTTACACAAAACCCCCACTTTTTACCTCAGAATCCACCCCAACACCCCAAAATCTGCCCTTTTTCACCCCAAAATCTAACTTTTTTACCCAAAACCTTCACTTTTTACCTCAAAAACTGCCCCTAAACCCCCAAATCTGCCCTTTTTACCCAAAACCTGCCTTTTTTACCTCAGAATCCACCCCAACACCCCAAAATCTGCCCTTTTCACCCCAAAATCCACCTTTGTACCCAAAACCCGCACTTTTTACCTCAGAATCCACCCCAAAACCCCAAAATCTGCCCTTTTCACCCCAAAATCTACCTTTTATCCCCAAAACCCGCACTTTTTACCTCAGAATCTGTCCCAAACCCCAAAATCTGCCCTTTTTACCCAAAACCTGCACTTTTTTACCTCAGAATCTACCCCAAACCCCAAAATCTGCCCTTTTTACCCAAAACCCGCACTTTTTCCCTCAGAATCTATCCCAAACCCCAAAATCTGCCCTTTTCACCCCAAAATCTACCTTTTATCCCCAAAACCCGCACTTTTTACCTCAGAATCTGTCCCAAACCCCAAAATCTGCCCTTTTTACCCAAAACCTGCACTTTTTTACCTCAGAATCTACCCCAACACCCCAAAATCTGCCCTTTTCACCCCAAAATCCACCTTTGTACCCAAAACCCGCACTTTTTACCTCAGAATCTACCCCCAACACCCCAAATTCTGCCCTTTTCACCCAAAACGCACCTTTTATCCCCAAAACCTTCACTTTTTACCTCAGAATCCACCCCAACACCCCAAAATCTGCCCCTTTTCACCCAAAATCCACCTTTTTTACACAAAACCCCCACTTTTTACCTCAGAATCCACCCCAACACCCCAAAATCAGCCCTTTTCACCCCAAAATCTAACTTTTTTACCCAAAACCTTCACTTTTTACCTCAAAAAACTGCCCCTAAACCCCCAAATCTGCCCTTTTTACCCAAAACCTGCCTTTTTTACCTCAGAATCCACCCCAACACCCCAAAATCTGCCCTTATCACCCCAAAATTTAACTTTTTTACCCAAAACCTGCACTTTTTACCTCAGAATCTGCCCCCAAACCCCCAAATCTGTCCTTTTCACTCCAAAATCCACCTTTTATCCCCCAAACCTGCACTTTTTACCTCAGAATCTACCCCAAACCCCAAATCTGCCCTTTTCCACCCCAAAATCCACCTTTGATCCCCAAAACCCCCACTTTTTACCTCAGAATCCACCCCAACACCCCAAAACCTCCTCTTTCCACCCCCAAACCTGCACTTTTTCCCTCAGAATCTACCCCAAACCCCAAAATCTGCCCTTTTCACCCCAAAATCCACCTTTTATACCCAAAACCTCCCCTTTTTACCTCAAAAACTGCCCTTTTCACCCCAAAATCCACCTTTTATCCCCAAAACCCCCACTTTTTACCTCAGAATCCACCCCAACACCCCAAAATCTGCCCTTTTCACCCCAAAATTTAACTTTTAAACCTAAAACCTACACTTTTTACCTCAGAATCCACCCCAACACCCCAAAACCTGCCCTTTTCACCCCAAAATTTCCCTTTTTTACTTAAAACCTGCTCTTTTTACCTCAGAATCTGTCCCAAAACCCCAAAACCTGCCTTTTTTACCTCAGAATCCACCCCAACACACCAAAATCTGCACTTTTCACCCCAAAACCCACCATTTTTACCCAAAACCTGCACTTTTTCCCTCAGAATCTTCCCCCAAACCCCAAAATCTGCCCTTTTCACCCCAAAATCCACCTTTGATCCCCAAAACCTGCACTTTTTACCTCAGAATCCACCCCAACACCCCAAAACCTCCTCTTTTCACCCCAAAACCCTCTTTTTCCGCCCTTTTTACCCAAAACCTCCTCTTTTCACCCCAAAACCCACTCCCCCCCCCCACACACCTGCACGTCGGGCGCGCGGGCAGGGGCGGGGCCGCGCCGTGACGTCACCGCGTCGGGGAATAGAGGAGGGGGGGGGGAAAACGCCGCTCTTAAAGGGGCAACGTCCCGGTGTGGACCCCCCCCACAAACACCCCGACCCCTTAAAAGGGCAACGGCAAAAGGGGGGGTGTCGGGGTACAGGGGGGGTTTTGGGGTGCAGGGGGGTGGGGAAGCGCCCCATAGGGTGCAATGGGGGTGTTGGGGTGCGGGGGGGGTCTATTTAGGGAGAGGAGGGGTTGGGGTGCAGCGAAAGGGCCCCCCCCATCCTTCACTTACCTTGGGGTGACCCTGAGTGCCGCTGGGGGTGCTGGGGGCTCCCCCTTATATAGGGGCTCCTATGGGGGGGGCCCCCCCCCTCATGTGACCTTCTCAGGTGACCTCTGCCCTTTCCGCAGCCCAAAATAGCCCCAAAAACCCTTCCCCCACCCCCCCACAACCCCCCCCTCCACCCTTTGTTGGGTGGGGGGAGGGGAAAACCCCCCCATAGCCCCTCCCCCCACCGATATGGGGCTGGCTTTGTGCCCCTCCCCCCATATATGGGGCTCCCCCCCCCAACCCCCCCTCTTTATGGGGTGGGGGGAGGGGAAAACCCCCCCATAGCCCCTCCCCCCACCGATATGGGGCCGGGTTTCTGCCCCTCCCCCCATATATGGGGCTCCCCCCTCTTTGTGGGGTGGGGGGAGGGGAAACCCCCCCCCCCATAGCCCCTCCCCCCACCGATATGGGGCCGGCTTTGTGCCCCTCCCCCCCATATATGGGGCTCCCCCCCCCCCCCCCGTTGTCGCCATGGCAAGGGGGGGCGTGGCTCATTAATATTCACATGCATATGCAATGAGCCCCCTCCGTCGCCATGGCAACAACACCCCCGACCCCCCCATTCCCTTATATGGCAACGCGCCCGCTGCGCCCGATCCCCATTGGCTCGCGGGCTCGGCCAATCAGGAGGCACGGCGGCGCGCATGCGCAGTCCCCGCCCCAGCGTTGCCGTGGAGACGCGGCGGCCCTCGGGGGGCCCGCGCAGGTAAAGAGCGGGCTTTATGCTAATGTATGCTAATGAGGAGGGGAGGGGCTTGCAGGGAGGGGCACAGAGCGCGGGGAGGGGGGGGAAGGGGGTTGTGGGCGGGGAGATGCAAATGAGGGGGTGGGGGAGTGGATGGGAGGGGCCAGGCCTCAACCGCAGTCCCCCCAAGCCACGCCCCCCCTTAAGCCACGCCTCCTTGCCCTTAATAAGGGTGCTCTTCTTTAGGCCACGCCCCCTTTCTGCTAATCACATTGATCCCCTTTAAGCCACGCCCCTTCCCCTCCCATTCACCACCCCCATAGGCCACGCCCTTTAAACCACGCCCCCCGCCATGACTTTGAACCCCTTTAAGCCACGCCCCCTTTGTCCGCCCAATCACGTCCCTCCCCGTTCAGGCCACGCCTCCTTTACACCACGCTCCCCTTTGCTCCAATAACAGTCCTCCACTTTAAGCCACGCCCCTTCCACCGCCCCTAGGCCACGCCCCCTCTGCCCAATCACGTGCCTCTCCCCTCAGGCCACGCCCCTCCCAGGCCACGCCCCCTTTACCCTGCCCCATCACCTCCCCTCTCCCTTTAAGCCACGCCCCCTATATGCCAATAACATTGATCCCCTTTAAGCCACGCCCCCCCTCCCATTCACTGCCCTTAGGCCACGCCCACATTTAACCACGCCCCCTTCGTCGCTATAACGTGTCCCACCCCCTTTGTCCCGCCCAATCACGTCCCTCCCCCTTTAGGCCACGCCTCCTCTGGACCTATGCTCCCTTTACTGCAATAACTTTATTCCCCTTTAAGCCACGCCCCCTTTCCCCTATTCCCCACCCCTAGGCCACGCCCCCTTTGTCCCGCCCTATCACCTCCCTCTCTCTTTAAGCCACGCCCCCTTTACGCCAACCACATTGATCTCCTTTAAGCCACGCCCCCTCGCCCCTCCCATTCATTTACATCCCTCTCAGACCACGCCCCCCTCATTTCCCTCCGCCCAATCACGTCCCTCTCCCTTTAGGCCACGCCCCCTTTGTCCCGTCCAATCACATCCTCTCCCTTTAAGCCCCGCCTCCTTTCCCCCTCCCATTCACCCCCGTAGGCCACGCCCCCTTTACCATTCACCATCACCCGTAAGCCACGCCCCCTTTGTCCCGCCCAATCACCTCCCTCTCATTTAGGCCACGCCCCCTTTATGCCAATAACATTGATCCCCCTTTAAGCCACGCCCCCTTCCCATTGATCCCTTTAAGTCACGCCCCCTTCCCATTGCTCCCCTTTAAGCCACGCCCCTTCCCATTGCTCCCTTTAAGCCACGCCCCCTTCCCTTTGATCCCTTTAAGCCCCCGCCCCCTTCCCATTGATCCCTTTAGGCCACGCCCCTTCCCATTGATCCCTTTAGGCCACGCCCCTTCCCATTGATCTCTTTAAGTCACGCCCCCTTCCCATTGCTCCCCTTTAAGCCACACCCCCTTCCCATTGATCCCTTTAAACCACGCCTCCTTCCCATTGATCCCTTAAGCCACGCCCCCTTCCCACCAATCTCGTTTATCCCCTTTAAACCACGCCCCCTTTCCATTGATCCCTTTAAAACCACGCCCCCTTCCCATTGCTCCCCTTTAAGCCACGCCCCCTTCTCATTAATCCATTGATCCCTTTAAGCCACGCCCCTTACCATTGATCTCTTTAAGCCACGCCCCCTTCTCCTCGATTCCTTTAAGCCACGCCCCCTTCCCCTTGCTCCCCTTTAAGCCACGCCCCCTCTCCCCTCCCACTCCTCCCTCTTCGCACCTCCCAATCCCCTCTTGACCACGCCCCCCCTCCTTTCTCCTCCCCCCCCCCCGCCCAATCAGGCTCCGCCCCCTCGCCCAGGCCACGCCCCCCGCCCCGGGGTCTCCCATGGCCCCCCCCTGGCCCGCGCTGGCCCTGGGGCTCCTCTTCTTCCCGGGGCTCTTCCTCCTGGCCCGGGCCCTACTGCGCAGGCGCTGCCCCGAGCCCCATGCGGTCATCCTGGCTGCCAGGTACCGGGGGGGACATGGGGGGAGATGGGGGGAGATGGGGGGTGAGAGATGTGGGGTGAGATGGGGGGAGAGATGGGGTGAGATAGGGGGAGAGATGGGGGGTGACATAGGGGGAGAGATGTGGGGAGAGATGGGGGGAGATATGGGGGGAGATGGGGGAGAGATGGGGGGTGAGATGGGGGAGAGATGGGGGGTGAGATGGGGGGAGATGGGGGGAGATGTGGGGTGAGATGGGGGGGGAGATGGGGGAGGGATGTGGGGTGAGATGTGGGGAAGATGGGGGTTGAGATGGTGGGAGGGATGGGGTGAGTTGGGGGGAGATATGGGGGGAGGGGGAGATGGGGGGAGAAGTGGGAGGGATGGGGGGAGATGTGGGGAGATGGGGAGAGATGGGGGGAGAGATGGGGGGAAGAGATGGGGAGAGATGGGGAGATCGGGGGAGAGATGGGGGAGATGGGGAGAGATGTGGGGTGAGATGGGGAGAGATGTGGGGGGAAATATGGGGAGAGATGTGGGGAGAGATGGGGGGAGAAGTGGGGAGGGATGGGGGGAGATGTGGGGAGATGGGGGGAGATGGGGGAGAGATGGGGAGGGATGGGGGGTGAGATGTGGGGAGATGGGGAGAGATGGGGGGAGATGTGGGGAGAGATGGGGGCTGAGATGGGGGGGAAAATATGGGGAGAGATAGGGGGTGAGATGGGGATGAGATGGGGGTGAGATATGGGGGGAGTGGGGACAGATGGGGGAGATGTGGGGTGAGATGTGGGGAGGGATGGGGAGAGATAGGGGGAGAGATGGGGACTGACATGGGGGGAGATGTGGGGTGAGATGGGGGGAGATGTGGGGAGATGGGGGAAGAGATGGGGAGGGATGGGGGGTGAGATGTGGGGAGATGTAGGGAGAGATAGGGGGAGAGATGGGGGAGATGTGGGGAGAGATGGGGGGAGATGTGGGGAGATATGGGGGAGATCTATGGGGAGATGTGTGGTGTATGGGGTGATATAGGGAGGGGGGATGGGGATGGGGGGGGAGGGGAAGTGGGGGGAGGGGAGGCCACGCAAGGAGAGCGGGGGCAGGGATTGACCTGGCTTGGGACAAGGGGGGTGGGGGGCAGTGGGGCAATGGGGGCAATGGGGGGCAATGGGGGGCCATGGGGATCAATGGGGGGCAATGGGGGGCAATGGAGTCAGTGGGGCAATGGGGGTCAATGGGGGGCAATGGGGTCAATGGGGGCAATGGGGATCAATGGGGGGCAATGGGGGGCAATGGGGGGCAATGGAGTCAGTGGGATCAATGGGGGGCAATGGGGTAATGGGGGTCTGTGGGGGTCAGTGGGGCAATGGGGTCAATGGGGATCAGTGGGGCTCAGTGGGATCAATGGGGCTCCATGGGGCTCAATGAGGCTCCATGGGGCTCAATGGGATCAATGAGGCTCCATGGGGCTCAATGGGGCTCAATGGGGCTCCATGGGGCTCAATGGGGCTCAATGGGCTCAATGGGGCTCAATGGGATCAATGGGGCTCCATGGGGCTCAATGGGGCTCAATGGGGCTCAATGGGCTCAATGGGGCTCAATGGGATCAATGGGGCTCCATGGGGCTCCATGGGGCTCAATGGGGCTCAATGGGGCTCAATGGGATCAATGGGGCTCAATGGGGCTCCATGGGGCTCAATGGGGCTCAATGGGGCTCAATGGGATCCATGGGGCTCAATGGGCTCAATGGGGCTCAATGGGGCTCAATGGGCTCAATGGAATCAATGGGGCTCCATGGGATCAATGGGATCCATGGGGCTCAATGGGATCAATGGGGCTCAATGGGATCAATGGGGCTCAATGGGGCTCAATGGGCTCAATGGAATCAATGGGGCTCCATGGGATCAATGGGATCCATGGGGCTCAATGGGATCAATGGGGCTCAATGGGATCAATGGGGCTCAATGGGGCTCCATGGGGCTCCATGGGGCTCAATGGAATCAATGGGGCTCAATGGGGCTCCATGGGGCTCCATGGGGCTCAATGGGGCTCCATGGGGCTCCATGGGGCTCAATGGGGCTCCATGGGGCTCACCCCCCAGGTTGGTCTCCTCGGTTCAGGCCGTGATGGCCTCCACGGCCGGGTTCATCATCGCCTCCTCCTGCCAGCACGTCATTGACGATGAGTGAGTGCCCCATAGCGACCCATAGAGACACATAGTGACCCATAGAGACCCATAGCGACCCATAGCGACCCATAGAGACCCATAGCGACCCATAGAGACCCATAGAGACCCATAGCGACCCATAGAGACCCATAGAGACACATAGAGACACATAGCGACCCATAGCGACCCATAGAGACACATAGAGACACATAGAGACCCGTAGAGACCCATAGAGACCCCATAGCGACCCATAGAGACCCATAGCGACCCATAGCACCCTATAGAGACCCATAGCGCCCCATAGAGACTCATAGAGACCCATAGAGATACAGAGACACGCCATAGAGACCCATAGAGATGCATAGCACCCCATAGAGACACTTAGAAATGCATAGTGCCCCATAGGGACCCACAGAGACCCAGAGAGACCCCAGAGAGACCCCATAGGGACCCATAGGACACCCTATAGAGACCCATAGAGACGCATAGCACCCCAGAGAGAGACATAGAGACACTTAGAGATGCATAGCCCCCCACAGAGACCCATAGGGACCCCATAGAGACCCATAGAGACACATAGCACCCCATAGAGACACATAGAGACCCATAGAGACACTTAGAAATGCATAGCGCCCCATAGGGACCCACAGAGACCCCATAGAGACCCACAGAGCCCCACAGACACCCCATAGAGACCCATAGAGACACTTAGAGATGCATAGCGCCCCATAGGGGACCCACAGAGACCCCAGAGAGACCCCATAGGGACCCATAGGGACCCACAGAGACCCATAGGGACCCCATAGAGACCCCATAGGGACACCATAGGGACACCATTGGGACACCATTGGGACCCATAGAGACCCATAGAAGACCCCATAGCACCCATGGGTGCCCCTCCCCCCCATAAGTCGCAGGGGGGGGAGGGGCGGGGGCAGCTTTGGCCGGGGCTGAGCCGGGATTAACCCAGGAGGGGGGGGAGGGGCGGGGGGGGGGGGGGGGAGGGGCGAGAGGGAGCTGGGGGGGAGGGGCCAGCGGGGCCCCATAGCACCCACTGCACCCCATAGGGAACCCATTGCTCCCTATGGAGCAGCCCCATAGGGCCCCCATTGCTTCTTATGGGGCAGCCCCATTGCTCCTATGGGTCAGCTCCATTGCTCCCTATGGGGTCCGCCCCATAGCTCTGTCTCTGCCCCATTGTTCTCTATGTGTCCGCCCCATAGCTCCCTGTGTCTCTGCCCCATAGCTTCCTATGTGTCCACCCCATAGGGACCCCCATTGCTCTCTATGGGTCAGCCCCACAGCTCCCTGTGTCTCCGCCCCATAGCTCCCTATGGGTCCGCCCCATAGCTCTGTCTCCGCCCCGTAGCTCCCTATGGGTCCGCCCCATAGCTCCCTGTGTCTCTGCCCCATAGCTCCCTATGGTCCGCCCCATAGCTCTGTCTCCGCCCCATAGCTCCCTATGGTCCGCCCCATAGCTGTGTCTCTGCCCCATAGATCCCTATGGGTCCACCCCATAGCTCCCTGTGTCTCTGCCCCATAGCTCCCTATGGGTCCGCCCCATAGCTTTGTCTCCGCCCCATAGCTCTGTCTCTGCCCCATAGCTCCCCATGGGTCCGCCCCATAGCTCTGTCTCTACCCCATAGCTCCCTGTGTCTCTGCCCCATAGCTCCCTATGGGTCCGCCCCATAGCTTTGTCTCTGCCCCATAGCTCTGTCCCCGCCCCATAGCTTTGTCTCTGCCCCATAGCTCCCTGTGTCTCTGCCCCATAGCTCCCTAGGGGTCCGCCCATAGCTCCCTGTGTCTCCGCCCATAGCTCCGTATGGGTCCGCCCCATAGCTCCCTGTGTCTCCGCCCCATAGCTCCGTATGGGTCCGCCCCATAAGCTTTGTCTCCGCCCCATAGCTCTGTCTCTGCCCCATAGCTCCCTATGGGTCTGCCCCATAGGACCCCCATAGCTCCCTATGGGTCCGCCCCATAGCTTTGTCTCTGCCCATAGCTCTGTCTCTGCCCCATAGCTCCTATGGGTCCGCCCCATAGCTCCCTGTGTCTCTGCCCCAAATAGCTCCCTATGGGTCTGCCCCGTAGGACCCCCATAGCTCCCTATGGGTCTGCCCCACATCTCCCTGTGGCCCCGCCCCATAGCTCTGTCTCCACCCCATAGCTCCCTGTGTCCCCGCCCCATAGCTCCCTATGGGTCCGCCCCATAGCTCTGTCTCCGCCCCATAGCTCCCTATGGGTCCGCCCCATAGCTCCCTGTGTCTCTGCCCCATAGCTCCCTGTGTCTGTGCCCCATAGCTCCCTATGGGTCCGCCCCATAGCTTTGTCTCCGCCCCATAGCTCTGTCTCTGCCCCATAGCTCCCTATGGGTCTGCCCCATAGGACCCCCATAGCTCCCTATGGGTCCGCCCCATAGCTTTGTCTCTGCCCCATAGCTCCCTATGGGGTCCGCCCCATAGCTCTGTCTCCGCCCCATAGCTCCCTATGGGTCCGCCCCATAGCTCCCTGTGTCCCCGCCCCATAGCTCCCTATGGGTCCGCCCCATAGCTCTGTCTCCGCCCCATAGCTCCCTATGGGTCCGCCCCATAGCTGTGTCTCTGCCCCATAGATCCCTATGGGTCCACCCCATAGCTCCCTGTGTCTCTGCCCCATAGCTCCCTATGGGTCCGCCCCATAGCTTTGTCTCCGCCCCATAGCTCTGTCTCTGCCCCATAGCTCCCCATGGGTCCGCCCCATAGCTCTGTCTCTACCCCATAGCTCCCTGTGTCTCTGCCCCATAGCTCCCTATGGGTCTGCCCATAGCTTTGTCTCTGCCCCATAGCTCTGTCTCCGCCCCATAGCTCCCTGTGTCCCCGCCCCATAGCTCCCTATGGGTCCGCCCCATAGCTCTGTCTCCGCCCCATAGCTCCCTATGGGTCCGCCCCATAGCTCTGTCTCCGCCCCATAGCTCCCTATGGGTCCGCCCCATAGCTCTGTCTCCGCCCCATAGCTCCCTATGGGTCCGCCCCATAGCTCCCTGTGTCTCTGCCCCATAGCTCCCTATGGGTCCGCCCCATAGCTCTGTCTCCACCCCATAGCTCCCTGTGTCTCTGCCCCATAGCTCCCTATGGGTCTGCCCCATAGCTTTGTCTCTGCCCCATAGCTCCCTATGGGTCTGCCCCATAGGACCCCCATAGCTCCCTATGGGTCCGCCCCATAGCTTTGTCTCCGCCCCATAGCTCCCTGTGTCCCCGCCCCATAGCTCCCTATGGGTCCGCCCATAGCTCCCTGTGTCCCCGCCCCATAGCTCCCTATGGGTCCGCCCCACATCTCCCTGTGTCTCCGCCCCATAGCTCCCTGTGTCTCTGCCCCATAGCTCCCTATGGGTCCGCCCCACATCTCCCTGTGTCTCCGCCCCATAGCTTTGTCTCTGCCCCATAGCTCTGTCTCCACCCCATAGCTCCCTGTGTCTCTGCCCCATAGCTCCCTATGGGTCCGCCCCACATCTCCCTGTGTCCCCGCCCCCCCAGGCACTGGCTGGCCGAGGCCTACCCCGCCTTCGCCGTGCCCTACTTCCTCTATGACGTCTACGCCATGTTCCTGTGCCACCGGCACCGCGCATGCGTCAAAGGTCACGAGGCCGCCCCGGCCCCGCCCCCTCGCGCAGCCGCCGTCGCCTTCCTGCGCCGGGAGCCCCTCCTCGTCCTGCATCACGTGACCATGGTGCTCGTCTGCTTCCCCGTGGCCTGCGTGAGTTGGGGGGGGGGGGGGGGGCCGCTATGGGGCGGGGCCGCTATGGGGCGGGGCTATGGGGCGGGGCTATGGAGTGCGCTATGGGGCGGGGCTATGGGGTGCGCTATGGGGCGGGATATGGGGTGCTATGGGGCAGGAGATGAGGTGCGCTATGGGGTGCTATGGGGCGGGGCTATGGGGGGGATATGGGGTGCGCTATGGGGCGGCTATAGGGTGCTATGGGGCAGGATATGGGGGAGCCTATGGGGTGCGCTATGGGGCGGCTATGGGGTGTGCTATGGGGCGGGATATGGGGTGCGCTATGGGGCGGCTATGGGGTGCTATGGGGCGGGATATGGGGTGCGCTATGGGGCGGCTATGGGGTGCTATGGGGCGGGATATGGGGTGCGCTATGGGGCGGCTATAGGGTGCTATGGGGCAGGATATGGGGGAGCCTATGGGGTGCGCTATGGGGCGGCTATGGGGTGCTATGGGGCGGAATATGGGGTGCGCTATGGGGCGGCTATGGGGTGCTATGGGGCGGGATATGGGGCGGGGCTATGGGGCGGGATATGGGGTGCTATGGGGCGGGATATGGGGTGCGCTATGGGGCGGCTATGGGGTGCTATGGGGCGGGATATGGGGTGCGCTATGGGGCGGCTATGGGGCGGATATGGGGCGGGATATGGGGTGCGCTATGGGGCGGCTATGGGGTGCTATGGGGCGGGATATGGGGTGCTATGGGGCGGCTATGGGGTGCTATGGGGCGGGATATGGGGTGCGCTATGGGGCGGCTATGGGGTGCTATGGGGCGGGATATGGGATGCGCTATGGGGCGGCTATGGGGTGCTATGGGGCGGGATATGGGGTGCGCTATGGGGCGGCTATGGGGTGCTATGGGGCGGGATATGGGGTGCGCTATGGGGCGGGGCTATGGGGTGCTATGGGGTGGGATATGGGGTGCGCTATGGGGCGGCTATGGGGTGCTATGGGGCGGGGCTATGGGGCGGCTATAGGGTGCTATGGGGCAGGATATGGGGCGAGTTAGGGGGGGATATGGGGCAGCTATGGGGGGATATGGGGTGGCTACGGGGCAGGTTATGGGGTGCTATGGGGGGGATATGGGTGGCTATGGGGCGGGATATGGGGGGATATGGGGTGCGCTATGGGCCAGGATATGGGGCGCGCTATGGGGGCGGCTATGGGGGTGCTATGGGGCGGGAGATGGGGTGCTATGGGGCAGGGTATGGGCGGGATATGGGGCGGCTATAGGGTGCTATGGGGCGGGGCTATGGGGGGGATATGGGGTGCGCTATGGGGTGCGCTATGGGGCAGGATATGGGGTGCTATGGGGCAGGGCTATGGGGTGCGCTATGGGGCGGCTATAGGGTGCTATGGGGCGGGGCTATGGGGTGCTATGGGGTGGGGCTATGGGGTGCTATGGGGTGGGGCTATGTGTCCCTATGGGTCGCTATGTGTCCCTATGGGGTCCCTATGTGTCGCTATGGGTCGCTGTGGGGTCCCTATGTGTCGCTATGGGTTGCTATGGGTCTCTATGTGTCGCTATGGGTCCCTATGGGTCCCTATGGGTCTCTATGGGTCCCTATGTGTTGCTATGGGTCGCTATGGGTCCCTATGGGTCCCTATGGGTCTCTATGGGTCCCTATGTGTTGCTATGGGTCGCTATGTGTCCCTATGGGTCCCTATGGGTCCCTATGGGTCGCTATGGGTCCCATTGGCAGCTGTGGCGCGAGGGCAAGGGCGACTTCTTCCTGGGCTGCCTCCTATTGGCGGAGCTGAGCACCCCCTGCGTGTGCCTGGGCAAGGTCCTCATCCTGGTGAGCCGGCGCTATGGGGCGCTATGGGGCCCTATGGGGCGCTATGGGGCGCTATGGGGGGCTATGGGGCGCTATGGGGCGCTATGTGGTGCTATGGGGGGCTATGGGGGGCTATGGGGCGCTATGGGGCGCTATGGGGCTCTAAGGGGTTCTATGGGGTGCTATGGGGGGCTATGGGCGCTGTGGGGTGCTATGGGGGGCTATGGGGCGCTATGGGGCTCTAAGGGGTTCTATGGGGTGCTATGGGGCTCTGTGGGGCTCTTTTGTGTCGCTATGGGGCTCTGGGGTTCTATGGGCTCTATGGGGCTCTATGGGCTCTATGGGCTCTATGGGGCTCTATGGGGCTCTGTGGGGCTCTATGGGGCTCTATGGGGCTCTATGGGTTTCTATGGGGCTCTATGGGCTCTATGACCCTTTCTATGCTATGTTCTCCCCACCCCCCCCCACATCTCCCCCATCTCCCCACCCCCCCCACGTTTCTCCCCATGTTCTCCCCACACCCCCCCCACATCTCCCCTTATCTGCCCCCACACCCCCCATGTTCTTCCCCCATCCCCCCACATCTCCCCCCATCTCCTCCCCCATCTCCCCCCACATCTCCCCCCACATCTCCCCCCACATCTCCCCCCATCTCCCCCACATCTCCCCCCACACCCCCCATGTTCTCCCCCCATCTCCCCCCATCTCCCCCCACATCTCCCCCCACACCCCCCCACATCTCCTCCCACATCTCCCCACATAACCCCCATGTTCTCCCCCATCTCCCACATCTCCCCCCCATCTCTCCCCACATCTCCCCCCACACACCCCCACATCTCCCCCCATCTCCCCCATGTTCTCCCCCCATCTCCCCCCCATCTCCCCCATCTCCCCCCATCTCCCCCATGTTCTCCCCCATCTCCTCCCCCACATCTCCCCCCACATCTCCCCCCATCCCCCCCCATGTTCTCCCCACATCTCCCCCCATGTTCTCCCCACATCTCCCCCCATGTTCTCCCCACATCTCCCCCATAACCCCATGTTCACCCCACATCCCCCCCATGTTCTCCCCACATCTCCCCCCATGTTCTCCCCACATCTCCCCCCATGTTCTCCCCACATCTCCCCCATAACCCCCATGTTCACCCCACATCCCCCCCCATGTTCTCCCCACATCCCCCCCCATGTTCTCCCCCACATCTCCCCCCATGTTCTCCCCCCATCTCCCCCACATCCCCCCACATCTCCCCCCATAACCCCCATGTTCTCCCCACATCTCCCCCCATCTCCCCCATGTTCTCCCCCCACACCCCCCATGTTCTCCCCACATCTCCCCCCACATCTCCCCCCACACCCCCCATGTTCTCCCCCCATCTCCCCCCATACCCCCCATGTTCTCCCCACATCCCCCCCATGTTCTCCCCACATCTCCCCCCATGTTCTCCCCCCATCTCCCCCCACATCCCCCCACATCTCCCCCTAACCCCCATGTTCTCCCACATCTCCCCCCATCTCCCCCATGTTCTCCCCCCACACCCCCCATGTTCTCCCCACATCTCCCCCCACATCTCCCCCCACACCCCCCATGTTCTCCCCCCATCTCCCCCCATACCCCCCATGTTCTCCCCACATCCCCCCCCATGTTCTCCCCCCATCTCCCCCCACACCCCCCATGTTCTCCCCCCACATCCCCCCCATGTTCCCCCCTGCCCCCCAGCTTGGCCGCCAGCGCTCCCTCCTGCACCGCCTCAACGCGGCCGCGTTGGCGCTCACGTTCCTGCCCTGCCGCCTCCTGCTCTTCCCTTACCTCTACTGGGCCTACGGGAGGCAGCGGGGGCTGCCCCTGCTCCGCGTGCCGGGGGCTCTGCCCCACGGCGCCAACGCCGCCGCCGCCGCCCTCCTCGCCCCACAGATCTACTGGTACGGGCTCATCTGCAGGGCGGCCGCCAGGCTGCTGTGGGGCGGGCGCGGGGAGGGAGCCCTTGAGGGACACAGAGCGGGGACCCAGAGCGGGACCCAGAGCGGGACACAGAGAGGGAGCCATTGAGGGACCTATAGAGGGACCCATAGCGGGACCCATAGAGGGAGCCATTGACAGACCCATAGAGGGAGCCATTGACAGACCCATAGAGGGACCCATAGCGGGACCCATAGAGGGAGCCATTGACAGACCCATAGAGGGACCCATAGGGGGACACATAGAGGGAGCCATTGACAGACCCATAGAGGGAGCCATTGACAGACCCATAGAGGGACCCATAGCGGGACCCATAGAGGGAGCCATTGACAGACCCATAGAGGGAGCCATTGACAGACCCATAGAGGGACCCATAGCGGGACCCATAGAGGGAGCCATTGACAGACCCATAGAGGGACCCATAGGGGGAGCCATTGACAGACCCATAGAGGGACACATAGAGGGACACAGAGAGGGACCCATAGCGGGACACATAGGGGGAGCCATTGACAGACCCAGAGCGGGACCCATAGCGGGACCCATAGAGGGACCCATAGAGGGAGCCATTGACAGACCCATAGAGGGAGCCATTGATAGACCCATAGCGGGACCCATAGAGGGACACAGAGAGGGACCCATAGGGGGACACAGAGAGGGACCCATAGCGGGACACAGAGAGGGACCCATAGCGGGACCCATAGGGGGACACAGAGAGGGACCCATAGCGGGAGCCATAGGGGGAGCCGTTGACAGACCCATAGAGGGACCCATAGAGGGAGCCATTGACAGACCCATAGAGGGACCCATAGAGGGAGCCATTGACAGACCCAGAGAGGGACCCATAGCGGGACCCATAGAGGGAGCCGTTGACAGACCCAGAGAGGGACCCATAGCGGGACCCATAGAGGGACCTATAGAGGGAGCCATTGACAGACCCATAGAGGGAGCCGTTGACAGACCCATAGCGGGACCCATAGGGGAGCCATTGAGGGACCCATAGCGGGACCCATAGAGGGACACAGAGAGGGACCCATCGACAGACCCATAGCGGGACCTATAGCAGGACCTATAGAGGGATACAGGGAGGGACCCATAGATGGAGCCATTGAGGGAGCCATTGACAGACCCATAGCGGGACCCATAGCAGGAGCCATTGACAGACCCATAGCAGGACACAGAGAGGGAGCCGTTGAGGGACCCATAGCGGGACCCATAGCGGGACCCATAGATGAACCCATTGAAGGACACAGAAAGGGACCCATAACAGGACCCATTGAGAGCCCCATTGGCAGCCCCATAGCGGGACCCATTGGCAGCCCCATAGCGGGACCCATTGGCAGCCCCATAGCGGACCCATTGCAGCCCCATAGCGGGACCCATTGACAGCCCCATAGCGGGACCCATTGGCAGCCCACCCATAGCGGGACCCATTGACAGCCCCACAGCGGGACCCGTAGACAGCTCTATAATGGGACCCATAGGGAGCCCTATAGCGGCCCCACAGAGAGCCCCGGCCCTCAGCGACACCCCCCCTGAGCCCCACAGCGCCACACTAGGGCAGACACACATAGACCCAGAGGCAGCCCATAGACAGCCCTAGAGCGGGCCCCATAGAGAGCCCCATAGCGAGCAGTGGGGCCCAGCGACACCCTCTCTACACCCCCCCCGGGTCCAGAAGCCCCATAAGCAGCCCCATAGGCAGCCCCATAGCAAGCACCGGGCCCCGGCGCCGCCCACTGTGAGCCCCATAGCCTGCCCCATAGCCTGCCCCAGAGGGAGCACCAGAGCCTAGCGACACCCCCCCCCCCCCTTCAGCCCCATAGAGAGCCCCATGGCGAGCCCCAGGCGCTCTGGGGTGCTCTATGGGGCCCCCTATAGATTCTATGGGGCCCCCTATAGATTCTATGGGGCCGGTGCCCCCTCCCCATTCCTTGTAAGCCCTGCCCCCATTAAAGGACTTTGGGGACGCCTCGACCTCGTGCTTGGGGGGGGGGGGGATCCCTGTGACGTCATCACCCGCCGGCGTGACGTCATCGCGTCCATGGGATGGCATTGTGTGACGTCATCGTCCCTTGATGGACCTATGGGTATGGGGGGGGGGGGTCTCTATGTGGCTCGATGGGGTTTCTATGGGAGTCTGTGGGGTTTCTATGGGGTTTCTATGGGTCTCTATGGGGTCTCTGTGGGTGTCTATGGGGTTTCTATGGGTCTCTGTGAGGTCTCTATGGGTCTCTGTGGGGTTTCAGTGGGTCTCTATGGGGCTTCTATGGGTCTTTATGGGGTGTCTGTGGTCTCTATGGGGTGTCTATGGGGTGTCTATGGGTCTCTGTGGGGTCTCTATGGGGTGCTCTGTGGGGTTTCTGTGGGGTCTCTATGGGGTTTCTATGGGTCTCTGTGGGGTCTCTATGGGGTTTCTATGGGGTGCTCTATGGGGTTTCTGTGGGTCTCTATGGGGTCTCTATGGGGTGCTCTATGGGGTTTCTATGGGTCTCTATGGGGTGTCTATGTGGTCTCTATGGGGTCTCTATGGGGTTTCTATGGGTCTTTATGGGGTCTCTATGGTCTCTATGGGTCTCTATGGGGTCTCTATGGGGTCTCTATGGGGTCTCTATGGTCTCTATGGGTCTCTATGTGGTCTCTATGGGGTCTCTATGGGGTCTCTATGGGTCTCTATGGGGTCTCTATGGTCTCTATGGGGTCTCTATGGGGTCTCTATGGGTCTCTATGGGTCCCTATGGGATCTCTCCACGCCCCCCATAGAACTACAACTCCCATCCCCCCCCGCGGCAAACATCCGCTGCCCCCCTAACGGAGGGGGCGGGGCGGGAAGGGGCGGGGTCGCTCCAACCAATCCGAAGCCGCCCTGCCCCTCCTTCAGCCAATGAGAAAGCAAAGCGTGGAATGGGGGAAAGAGGGGTGGGCGTGGCGCGTCCGCGTTGACGTCATCACGCCACGTCATCACGCGATGGCGGCGCGCGCGGCCCTGTGCGTGGCCGGCGCCGCGCTCTCCCTTTACGCGCTCCACGTGGAGCGGGCGCGCGCGCGGGAACCCGGGTACCGCGCGCGCTGCGACCTGGGCGAGGCCGTGTCCTGCACCCGCGTGTTCGGGTCCCGGTAACCGCGGGAAAAGGGGGGGAGGGAATGAAAATGGAATGGCGGGAAAGGGACGGGAGAATGGCGGGAAGTGGGAAGTGGAGGGAAGGGAATGGCGGGAAATGGGAAGTGGAGGGAAGGGAATGGCGGGAAATTGGGGGGGGAGAATGGCGGGAAATTGGAAGTGGAGGGAAGGGAATGGCGGGTAATTGGGGGGAAATGGAATGGCGGGAAATGGGAGGTGGAGGGAAGGGAATGGCGGGAAATGGGAAGTGGAGGGAAGGGAATGGTGGGAAATTGGGGGGGGAGAATGGCGGAAAATTGGAAGTGGAGGGAAGGGAATGGCGGGTAATTGGGGGGGATGGCGGGAAATGGGAAGTGGAGGGAAGGGAATGGCGGGAAATTGGGGGGAGGGGATGGAATGGTGGGAAATTGTGGGGGGAGAATGGTGGGAAATGGGAAGTGGAGGGAAGGGAATGGTGGGAAATTGGGGGGAATGGAATGGTGGGAAATGGGAGGTGGAGGGGAGGGAATGGCGGGAAATGGGGGGGGAGAGAAGGGAATGGTGGGAAATTGTGGGGGGAGAATGGTGGGAAATGGGAAGTGGAGGGAAGGGAATGGCGGGAAATTGGGGGGAAGTGGAATGGTGGGAAATGAGAGGGGAATGGCGGGAAGTGGGAAGTGGAGGGAAGGGAATAGCGGGAAATTGGGGGGATGGTGGGAAATTGAGGGGGGGAGGGAAGGGAATGGTGGGAAATGGGGGGAGAATGGCGGGAAATGGGAAGTGGAGGGAAGGGAATGGCGGGAAATTGGGGGGAAGTGGAATGGTGGGAAATTGTGGGGGGAATGGCGGGAAATGGGAGGTGGAGGGAAGGGAATGGTGGGAAATGAGGGGGGAATGGCGGGAAATGAGAAGTGGAGGGAAGGGAATGGCCGGAAATTGGGGGGGGTAGGGGAAGGAAATGGTGGGAAATGGAGGGGGGGGAGAATGGCGGGAAATGAGAAGTGGAGGGAAGGGAATGGCGGGAAATTGGGGGGAAGTGGAATGGTGGGAAATGAGAGGGGAATGGCGGGAAGTGGGAAGTGGAGGGAAGGGAATAGCGGAAATTGGGGGA